CATGAATTCTACACATAAATCTAAAGTGAAATGAATCTCTTCGATGCTCATTGTTTATAATTATAATTTGTATTCACATTGTTATATTGATATTTATTTTAAATGCTGTTTTATATCTCCGAAAATAGGCATCGCTCTGAAATGGTGATTCTTAGGAAAAAAGTATAGAGACAGTTTTTATAGATAAGTAATCGCATAATGAATAATTTTTGTCTGAACTATTTTTAAGATAAAACTTACCGTATAGCTGAAAATTTTTAATTTTAATTTAATTTTCGCAACATTCGACCGTGACTTTTTTTTCCACACCTCGGATCGATAAGTACTTTTGACAAATTACTTTTGACGAATTAGTTTAGCTATTCAAAGAGGTAACGCTCGCAGCCTTCTGGGTACCTTACCTGTAGGCAATGATCTGGGAGACATTTTTAATTTAGTTTAGTTATTATTTTAAGAAATAGTTTAGATAAGTAGTTTTAATTTCATAAAAGGTTGGTTATAAAAATAACTTCTTTGCTATTAAACTAATGAAGTTACCAACATTCATATTTTCAGCTTTATGCAAGTTAATGTAACCTTGAATGTCTATTTTGACTAGGTTTTCACAGTTTTTTTTAAATGTCAACCCGCATGAACCGGCTGCACAACATGCAACGGATTCTATTAAAAAATCCTTTGACGTCATCAGCATAATTGAAAACTGACAGTCGTATTAGATAGAATACCATCGAAATACCGTGCAATGCGTTGTGTGTCATGCGGCCGCCAGTGCATGCATGCTGAGGAAGTGAACGAGCACCTTAAAAAGGATAAACAAAATTTTCATGATACATATAATGTCAGTATAATAGCCGTGAAACATTTAATAGTCTTACTATAGAGATACATTTTCAAATGCATAGCTCTTCTACTTTGGGATTTATTGGTATCTAAAAAAATCTAATTCCGTCGCTGACTCATTGATTCACTGATGGTCATCAAAATTCATAAGGTACATCATGAAATCCTGAAAGCTGAAATTTAAATGTAGCTATTATTATTATACAGACAACAGAATTTAAAACTGAAGAGAAACGAATATGCATTTCCAAAGGAAGATACGATGCCTACGCATAATTCCGTGTCAAATAAAAACCAAGTTATCTATACATATATAAGAGATGTTCTGACTTACTGATTGACAGACAACGCACGGCCTAAACCGCTGGTCGTAGAAAACGGATTTTTGGAATTTCCATTCCGAAGTGGGTCATAAAGGGTGAAAAGGTTTGTATGAAACTTCTTTATTTATGGACCTATGTCAATGAAAATTAATATTTGGGTAGTTTGTGACCCTAGGAAGGTAATAGGTTATATTTTATTCCGAAAACTAACACTTAAAGAAATAAAACAGGGAGTAAAAGAATTTATGGGGAATCAAAATTAGATTAAAAAAATGCAATTATTTGTGTTTTACGTTTCATCAGTAATTAATTTATTGGGGATTGATAGATCTTAACCTAAGATTTTCAAGTTGATTATTTTACAAATTATATTTTATTACATTTGTCCATTCATATTATGTAAGCACCTAAGTATAGGTTTCCAAGTATAAATGTCGTGGCCAGTTCGTAGAATTGACCAATTCATGATGCGGCCAGCCATTTTATGAAATGTTTGTATTTCATGAAATGGAAAAATCAGATCAATGAATGATTTGCTCTTAACGATATGGGCGGCTGATAGTATGACTTCTTCATGGTGTGGCCATGAGTAAGTGATCATATCGTAAAATAGTCACGTAAGTCTCAATAAGAGGCGCTGATGTCGCATTGTTTTTGTGATACATTTATTTTAATTTTTAGGTTAAACAACAAATTAAAGAAAGAAGGGTGCAGTGCGAAGGTGCAGTAGCAAAGGCTATTTCTATAGTTTTATGGATATGTCGCAGGTTATGATAAAGACAGGATTGTGACCTAGCTCCAAAGGCTGATAAAAATATAATGGAGAATATAAAAATTTTTGAGATATGAACTGACCTTAAGTTCCTTTAAGATTCACTACTTTAGGTCACATGATAGATTAGAAATTTAAGACAATCACGAAACATCGCGTAGCGATCGTATTAAATTTCGAGGTTGTTTTTTAGACCACAAAATCATGACTCTAACGAATAAACAAAGTATTTCAGCAAATAATTAGATTTCTTTGGACATATCATTTAACGTTGACGCTTAAAGATATTATTTAATGGCCTACTGGATCATAAAATTGACAATTCTACGATATGGCCACGACATATATAAGTAATGAAATAAGTCGTTTATTGAAAAAATATATATGTTGCACTGTTAATAGAAATATAATTTCATCAACAGTCCTTTCAACTCCCTACTGCTTGGGCTCAAGCCTTCGTTATAAATGGTAGTAAGGAGGACGGGCCATGACCTTCCACGCTGACCCAATGCAGATTAGAGGGTATTAACGACTGCAAATGCTTCCGGGCTTTATGTGCCTTCCGAAGTACGGAGTAGCTTGAGAATCTTGAAAAGCGTAATTTATTATACAGGTATTCGGGAATTTCATATTTAATGAGACCAAACATGAGGACAGCAAGGTGTAGCTTTCTTCGAGACTCCATACTGAGCATCAGAGCGCTGTTTAAATAAGGTGAAATATGGGATCGAGGAGGTATGTTGAAACAGAACCGACAACATGAATTCTGTATACGCTGGATCAATTTCTTAGTTCTATGCAACAGTCGGGGTCCGTAGACTAGGTCACCGTAATTGAGTCTAGACAAAATTAGAGATTCGCAGAGGGTGATACGCGTTTTTACTGACAGATAATCACGTACTTTGTATAAGATTTTTAAGCGATAGAAACAGTTGCGGACCAGATTCAAGACGTGAGTCTCCAAGCGTAACCAGCTGTCCATAACAACACCCTAATTTTTTGCCTCACTGACACACTCAATATTATCTCCTGAGAGCTTCACAGTTAAACCTCTACTTAAGATACCAGCAGTCTGCCTGTCTGTTCCGAACAGCATTAACTTTGATTTGGCCGCATTTAATACAAGGGTATTACTAGTGGACCATGCTGACATGGAATTCAGATCCTCTTCCAGTAGCTGCAGAGCCTGAGATGTACTAGAAGAATTCGTAGATATATACAATTGTACATCATCGGCATAACAATGATATTATAGTATTTTCGGTGTACCTCAGATTTTGACTTCCTAAATCTAGCAAATGCTTTATTCCTTAGCTGAATCATCATCCTAATCGTATCAGTTATCCAAAGTAATGATTTGTTTTGTTTCAATTTTAATGATATTAGTGGAGCATGCTTATCAAAAAGAAATAATAATAGCTGATTAAACTCATCTACCATGGACTCAACTGAGGGCATGTCAGAAACCGCTTCCCAATCAATAGAGTTAAGATCAGCATTGAAATTCTCCAAATTGATTATCGTCAACGGTCTGTATATTAAATGCTTAGGCGGGATCTTCGGTTTTTTTATTACTAAACTAAAGTTAACCATTACATGGCCCAAAAATCCTGTAACACTCAACACAGTTCACGAGTCTTACAATTAGTACATACTAAATCTATCAAGCTATCAGAATCAACGGAGTAGTGTGTGCACTCATTCACAACCTGCCGCAAGTCCAAACATTGATTGAAAATCATTGAGTTTTTTTTACATTATCACTTGTATAATTGATCACATTAATGTCGAAGTCACCCATAAGCACAATGTATTCATAATTTGTAAAAGTCACTATAGTTTCCGTTAATGCGTCCAGGAATGAGTCAACATTTATCCATTGTGGTCTATATGCCGTGCCTACTATTACACGTATACCATTTGCTTTGGTCGATAGCCACATCTGTTCGATATTTACATGAGGATGACTTAAAACCGCACACGTAAGATTTGCTTAGATAAAATGCAACTCCCCCACCTCTTCCTCTACGCATGTGCTGTGGACGAGGAAGATTCCGCAGCCGGTAGTCTGAGACGACAGCCCTTGCTTCCTGACCAGCACGCAACCATGTCTCGTTAATAGCAACGATGTCCGCATCAATACGAGTCATAGCTACAAGAAAATCATCGTGACCCGTGTTAAGCGATCCTGCATTATAAAACGCTAGCTTCAGAAATTTTGTTTTAGTGTTCATATTGAATATTCTATTTAATAAGTTACTGAATATTTACATGTAGATATCATATGAAGAAAAAATAAAATAAAATTTAATATAGCAAACTGATACCATGAATAAACAAAATATAAAACATTGATAATAACAATAAAAATCAACCCAAACAAGTTTAAAACATACATAATAAGATTATTATTCAAATTAAATTTTATCAAATTGATAATGATATTAAAAATCAATTTAAATGAATCTAAAACATTGATAATCAGATTAAAAACTAATTAAAAAAAAAGAAGATACAAAACCATTAAAATAATCTTTTAGCAATAAATTAAAACAATAATATAGCAAAGCAAGAAGGAATCATTAAGTTGCATCGTACCGGCACAATGATACATAAAACATAACACTCTACATAACAGCACATAAAAAGCATTTAAAATCATAAATTCAAATAACATAAACTTGCAAACATTAGATATAATTTCAGTCTTTAAAGAACTAAATGCTAATACTACTAAAAATTTAAAGCAGAGTCTAAGCATTGCTAAACAGATTACCAAAGCTGTGGCGATAAAAATACATGAAGACTCAACAATAGCAAATACAGCTTTACCATATGATTGCCAAAATTCAATTTGATGTGGAACTATAAAGCAGTAAATAACAATAATTTTATGAAATGAAAGCAGAATTGGAGCATTATTAGACAGCACAGCAAAAGCAATAAAAAAATCAATACACGACAGCATTGCATACAGCCATATCATGGGAAAGCAACATCTGTACAATATAATAAGCATGAACAGCATAATAAGCATAAATAAGCAAAATGAAAAACAGCGAACATTAGTTATAATAAGCGCCCCCCGCCTCCAGGCCAAAAACACGGTCAAGGTCTGCTTCAGCACGAATACCATAACGAATGGAGCCGACTCCAGGATGCTGACGTGCAAAAATTCGACCATTCCTCGACCAGATGAAACGCCATCCCCGCTCACGCCCCATCTGCCGCGCCCGCCGAAACAACATTCCGTTATATTTAGTCAGTCTCTCATTTAAAAAAAATTGAGCAGGTTTACCGGGAAGACCCATGCCCTCAGTGGTAACACCCCGACGCACCCTTGCAGCTTCCAACAGTTTATCACGTACAACACGTCGTGCCAACCGTACTACAATTGGACGCGTGCGAAGCACAGCAAAGGTCTGGGACGCATCTAGTACATGGCCCATTCGCACTACACTAACAATATCCTGTTCATCCAGATGAACACCAAGTTTAGTAGCAACCGTACCGATAATATGTAGCAAACTTTCATTCGGCTGCTCCTGTATGCAAGTCACCTCAAGCTCCGTAAGCAATAGATCTTGATCTCGATCATTCAGTTCCGATTTCATTCTGTCAATTTCAGCAATAAGCGAAGCATTGTCCACCTTTTCAGTAGTGAGTCGTGTTTCAAGTGTAATCACACGCTCATTAAGAACCCCAACTCGACCTTCGCACTCTGTGAGCCTACCCGTAAGCGCCGCCACAGTATCATTTAACCATTTTGTTTCAAGGCAAGCAGAGCACAGTTCCTCCCGCATCTCTTCCCTAAATGCTCGCATCTCCATAACTAATGACTGAAAATCTGTGATTTCGATAGTAATATTATGCGCAGTATCGTTAAATAATCCATGTCTAGACCAGACGGGGACTCAACAGCAGCTCCCCGCTGCACTGTGACCCCAAGGGCAGTTCCACGAACAGGTGTATTAGTGTTGTCAACCTTAGGTTGCCGACTGAAACACATAACACATCTTCAGGCTTTTTTATGATCCTTGCTCATGGTATTATAAAACCGCTGTTCTGAGACATTGGCGCATTCCAAATCATAATGTAGTCCGCAGGCACTACAGCTCAGAAACCTTTTATCTTCGATGGATTTCCGACAATCTCCACAAATTTTGTCATTGCTCGACATGTTGTTGGGCAATATATATTTTTATTATTATATTTAATGTAGTAAAGAAAAAAAATCGGCAGACAAAAGCAATAAATAAAACTAGCGTTCCGTTGATCCGATCCGGGTCCCGCCAATGATCTCAAATACGTCCGTTAACGTTTGCGGTCCCCCTGCCAATCATGCTATGCTTAATTTTGGACCTATAGGTCACGTGATGTTAGAAGGTTATTTTTTAACAGATAAAAATATGAACGTTTTGGCGTTTTTTAAATCAACCGTCTTGTTGAACGGTCCAAATGTCCTGATGATTCAAATAGAAAACTAGCCGCTTAATTGAAAGGCTATTTTAACCAGTTAGCTGCGACATAAACAAGATCTTTCTTACACATTCCATACCGTTTTTAGAGTCGACTAAGGAACAACGAAGGATGTATATTGAGTTGGCGTTAATATTAGGTTACTTTTGGTTTAAAAAATACTATACTGAAATCAAACAAAAATATTTCAATTTATATTTTTAAAAAAAAAAAATAATTTAATTACAGAATTTACAAAAAAAACCTAATTACTTTCGCTAACTGAAACAAATCAGTACAATTATTAAATATATTAAGTCTCATTCCTTACTTACAAATATGCTTCATTAAAGGCCTATAAAGAGTTATTAAACTGATCATTAACATTTTTTTTTAGATATGTAACAGTTATATTAATTTCTCTTATATTAACATTGGCAATTTTTTTAACAGTTTTCATAATTTACAAAATATCTAAATTACTTTCGCTAACTGAAACAAATAAGTACAATTATTAAATATATTAAGTCTCATTACTTTACTTGCAAATATGCTTCATTAAAGGCCTATAAAGAGTTATTAAACTGATCATTAACATTTTTTTTAGATATGTAACAGTTATATTAATTTTTCTTATATTAACATTGGCAATTTTTTTTAAGTTTTCAAAATTTGTTTCGGGTAAAATGGTTATAGGCTCCTAATAAAATACAAACTAAAATAAACTAAGCAATCACCTTGAACCAATGTAATTATTCATCTACTACACCTTTTCGTGTAATCTTTTCTGCCGTTTCTCGAACTCAATAATTTTCACTGAATGGTATCTGACCTCATCTGATATTCAATTAAGAACTTTACAAGTTTTCAGATCTACTCAATAAGCAGCTATTATCTGCATAAAATGAAACAGCTAGATGTACACTTGACACTGTAATTTATGAACAGAGTTTCTAGATTAAGAAGTCCATTTCTTTGTACCTTAGGTACGTAAGTAAATGAGTAATGCTAAAATTTACTTTAATTTGCTATTTTCTTTGTTACAAAATACTTTCATTTGTAAAATGGTACCTTCATACATATTAGTTTAATCACAGGTAATGCCGCAAATAAATAACAGTCTTATATTACACTTATGCTACTTTTTTATGAATTTCCGCGTATCTTCTGTCCTCTTCAGGCATGTCTTTATCTTCCCATCCCCAGACAGGATTTTCTGGATGGTGATGATCATCTTCAGATTTGTTGGTATGCTCAGTAGATGGATGAGAACCGTCGCCTGTTCTTGCCGCACGTTTCTTTATCATTTCTACAGATACTGTTTTCAGATCATAAGCCAGACCTAAGGAAAGAAAATAATTTAAAATTGCTGATTTTAGAAGAAAAGACTATAACTTGCTATGCTATTTTGGAAGAGAACAGCCTCGAATTCAATAGTCTGTTTGTTTAAATAGTCTGCTTGGGACCAATGATAGGGTGCTTTATGTTTTATTTTTTGGTTTTATCCCATCAAAAGTCCTCAAAGACCTTTAGCCCTAAAAATGATACTCGCGATATGACGCTACTGCTTTTGTTTAACAAACATATCAACCTTGCCTGTATTTTTGCTTTGGCTGCATATGTTTTTTAAGTCAATTATTATTTAAAATAACTAGTTACCCCATTTTGCAGCAAGATCGATTAGCCCCGTCGACAAGTTTGTAGAGTAATTTCCCAGCTCTGCCGCTTTGTAGTCCCATGGGAACACATGGTGGTAATTATGCCAACCTTCACCAAATGCGCAAATGGCCACAGATTTATTATCGGTTGCACCTATGTATCTGAAAGAGCAAATACATTATTACAAGTCAGTTTATAGATTGTGGTACATATAATGAAATACGAATAGGAGCTGAAGAGACAGGATTACACAAAAGGCACAAATACAGAAAAGCTCATCAAATTATTATATTTGATCAATTTTGGCATCCACAATGCTATACTGAAAATATTCTCTTACACATTTTTACTGTTGGTTGGGTGGATTGCCTGAATATTGATGAGAATGGGTTGCAGCTGGGTTGAATGACGAACATACATACATTGGAAGTCAACAAAATCTCTATGTGTAAAAATAAATATTAGCTTTATAAAAAGAGGACTAACTAAAATTATCAATGGCCGCCTAAAGCAACCTGATAATGGCAGAAGAGAAAACATCAAAATGAGACGTGTTGACTAACTTTGGTCGGTCGGATAATATGATAAGCCTGTTCCCCGATTGTCTAATTTCATAATATATCGCAATCATTTCGTGACTAATTTAAAGAATTATGTTACGTTTAAAGTCGCAATCGCTTTTTAACGAATGATGATTTGAATAGTCAAGAAACATAATAAAATCATACGGCCGGTTTCTGAATTGAGAAAAGCACAAAATCTCAACTGATTATTCTCAATAACTTAAGTTTTTTTTAGTTTTCTCAAGGCAAAGACTCCAAGTTTTCATCAAACGAACCATGCTATAAACTAATAATTAAAAACTAAAATTAGAAACAAAAACCTTTTTAAATACATTTTGAGACATTTATAGCTTCAAATAAGTCAATTCAGAAGCCTGGTGTAAGACTATATACTCACTTGTCGTAAGGTTTGTTTCCCCATATGTGAGCAGCGGAATTGACGAGCCAAGTAAAGTGAAGGGATAATGTGTAACGCCATATAGCAGCAATATACCATGATGTCCAGGGATCCTCGTTCCAGAAGTAAATGGGGATTGCCGCGGGAATTATGAAGCAAAGAAGCGGCATCATAAATAAATATGTTCTGGAAACAAAAAATGATGCAAAGAATGAAAATAATGTTGAACATTTATTCATATAAAATTAAAGAGTAAGACGTAAAGAATACAGGAAAAACTGTAGCCGGCACTCAAAATTTTATATTGTGTTCGTTATTCACGTTTTTATTTCCAATTTATGCCAATGTAAATTATTGAATTTTAAACACTGAACTATTGGACCTACTCAAAACAAATTTCAGCAACAGGAAGCTACAATATACGCAGATGAAGTCAAAATATCTTGTTCTATAATAAACAGACGACAATCATTAATAGACAGCTCCTATAGACAAGTGTGCGACTACCTAACTCTCTAGCCTTGATTCTAGCTATAGGATAGGACATCTTAGGGCGACGTTCTGATGGTATTTCGTTTGATGTCTTGTGTTTTGGTGGATAAATTTGGGATAAATTACTAAATTGGTAGCACTGTTAACAAATCTATACTCATCATTCTTTATTGTTCGTTCGTCATTACTAAAATACACACCATAATAGTAAAATAAAATGAAAAAATAGCCTTACCATCGATAAGATGTCGTATTCTATGGCTAGAAGCATGGCTAAAGAGTAAGGCGGTAACTCTGTAGGTTTAGATTGACATTATCATTGCTTCTGACTCTACTTAAAAACAGTTTCAGTTACATAAAAAAACGGCCACAGAAAGTTGGAGACATCCACGAAGGGTTACGTACCATTATCAAAAAAAGACGTAAAAAAATTAGGTTTGTTGTATAACACCACACTTGAATATCTCTTTTATTCTGCTTTTAGTATTTTTTTTTTTAAAGCGGCAACAGAAATATGTTATCTGTGAATATTTCAACTGTCTAGCCATCACAGTTTATGAGATGACAGGACAGTGGAGTCTTAGTAAAAGGGTGCCGTTTTTACCTTTGGGAATAAAAAAAATTAAAATGACTTACTTTTTCTGAAACATGACAATGGGATCTTTCTCCAAGTCTGACATGTCAATGGTGCTGCCCTTTTCGAAGACGTCTTTATGTTTCCGAACCATCAGCCAGCCGATATGGGAGAAGAAGAAGCCACGCTTGGCGTTGTGTGGATCTGCGTCGGTTTCCGTGAATTTATGATGAACTCTGTAAGCAAATGAAATGAAAAACACTTTTTTATGCATGCATACTGCTTGGAATACTCTCTTACGAACATTAAGAAAAATACAAAATCTCAACTGATAATTCACAATAACTGAAGTTTTTTACTTTTCACAGGGCAAATCTATCACACCTTTCAAAACTAAACTCAAGGAGCACTTTCTAGCACAATGTTCGTATTCATAATTTTGTAATCATTGTATTTTTTACACATATATTATATGTATATGTAAAAATATATGTATATGTATATGTATATTATATGTATTATAAAATATTGTTTATTTATTTTCTATATCATGCCTATATGTATTAATGTTAATATTAATTCACATTAAATTTTTACAAATATGCACTTGACAGTCTCCCGTTACTGTTTGATCTCCCACACTGCCTGGTTAGCTGGAAGAGATCTCTTAAAGAGATATGTGCAATAAAGAGTATAATAAAAAAAGTCGTATTTTTTATCAGACTACTATCAACTGATCATTAAAAAACTATAATCAGAAACGGGAACATGTTTAATTACAGTTTAGGACGTGCTTTACTTTAAATACTCAATTCATAAACCGGGTGTTAGAAACTTTTCCAGAATTGTAAGTGTTTGCTGATTGGTGGAGAATAAATTTTGCGAAATTAAATAATACATTAAGATAGTATGTATTATAAATTAATACAATATGGACATTGGAAACCTGTAATTGGCTTTATGGATAAGTTTGTAAGTATGAACTGTAACAAGCTGTTGGTTTCAATAAATAAAAACTTCACAATAATAATAAAAAATAGTAGGAATAAAATAATTTATGTAATTTGGACCTTTTTCAGTATAATAATTGTAAAATAGACAAATGAATAGACTGACTTCAAAATAACTTAAGAACAATGGGGAAAAATAATGAATAGTTTTTTCATGTAACAATTATTGGCTTACCTATGGTCTCGCACCCATTCGTAAATGTGATTCTGAAATGCCATAGTTTGTAAAACGCACAGGAACAGTCTTAGCGGCCATCTTGCTTTATACGCCTGATGGGCCCACAGTCTATGTGCTCCTGCCGTAACTCCCATTGCAGCGAGTATGGCAAAAGTTAAAGCTGTAAATAACAGAAAGTAGTATAAAATATAGTACCCTATAACTCAGTAAATATTAAACAAAGTCATACACATTCCTCAGATCACAAATTAGGTAGCTATAGCACTTGTTTTATTGAAATCCATTTGAGATAATTTCACTCTCATAAAATGAAGCAACTAACTCAACTTAAATTAAGATTATAATAATAGCCCAATCTAATTAGAAACTCGCTTATAATTTCCTTTATTATTAAATTCCGTATCTGTATTATAAGTTATTTAATATCAACATCAAAAAACCCCTAATACGAAATTATCTCGGATTTAATTAATTAATGAAAATTAACCTTTTCGAGTTAAAAGGGTAAATAGCAATACTTTATTAAAAGTTCAATATTGAATCACTGATAATATTACCCAAAATAAAGTTATTATATGTGATCAATTATTATCTGAACTCGACATCCATGTGTTTTTTAGTAAAGGTACTTTAAAAAACTTAATAAATTAACAAAATAATAAAAAACCAATTTTATAAAAAAAATTGAGCAATTGTATTGTCTTTTGAAGGAAAAAAGGCATTGGTCTCTTCAAAATGTTTAACAATTTATAACGACATTTCTAATCATACTCAGCTGATTGTTAAAAGAGAACTCTTGTATCAATTTTCTTTCAAATGTCAACCAGACTTTAATTACTAAATATTATCAGTAAAATGGGGCTATTATTAGCTTTAATAATCAAACCTACTGACTAACACACTTTTGTAGGAAGAATTATTCTTCAAGGAATGATGCTAGGCAGGGGTAATTAATGACGCAAATTATCTATTATATGTGAGCGTTAAAAATAAACGACACGTATCGCTAGCAATAGTATTCTGTATCATTTCCGCGGCGTTCTACAACCGTAACCAACAGTTAATTCTAACTAATATAGGTTATGGTGATTTTCATTTGCACAAAGAATACATAAATTCTGGATGATAGGATGACGACCAAACGTATTATTAAAATTTTATCTTATAAATAATGAAGCGGAGAGCCAAGGAATTTATTGATTATATTAAAGGATATAAAACATATAGTTATCACAGTTACAGTACATGCTAAAAGTTACTATTACAAATATGTTTTGATTTCAAATATTATAAAAATAACAAATACCTAAAACATATTAAAAATAAAACAACTGAAATGATCGGCAACAAACAAAACTGAATATAATTTTTAAACTTACTTTCGAAGGTATATTCTACGTAAACGAGGAATCACCATAAGTCATACGAGGGTCAAACTGAAAGTTCTTAGAAAATCAAAAACTGATTACATTAGCCAGTTATTAGTTTTATTATATCTTTTCAAAATATTGTCCATTCACGTCAATACACCGCTGCATGCGATGGAACCACTGGGAAAAGCACTTTGCCCACTCGTCCTTAGGGGTCTCTTCAATGGCATCGCGATACGCAGCCACCGCTTCTTCAGCATTCATAAATCGCTTTCCTTTAAGTTTTTCTTTAATTTTTGGAAATAAATAAAAATCACAAGGCGCGAGGTCGGGGCTATACGGCGGGTGACCCAGTAATTCAACGTTTGATGTCGCCAAATAGTCGATCGTTCGCTTGGCGGTGTGCGACGAGGCGTTGTCGTGGTGAAGGAGGATCCTACTGCGAGGTCGTTTCTCTCGAACTTTTTCCAAGACAAGTGGCAAACAATTGGTAGTGTACCATTCTGCAGAAACTGTTTTTTGATCCTCTAACACAATTGTTGCAAAATGACCTATCCTTCCAAAGAACGAGGCCACCATTTTTTTTCCCGCACTTCGATCTCTCTTCACTTTAGTTGGCAACTCCTCGAAAGGAAACACCCACTGAGCAGATTGTCTTTTGGTTTTAGGATCATAACAGTAAATCCAGCTTTCGTCACCTATTAGTATGTCGAACACAGCATTTGAGTCACCTCCGTTAAATCTTTCAATCATTTTACGACACCAATCCACACGATGGAGTTTTTGAGCCTCAGTCAAATTATGAGGTATCCACCGGGCGCAAAGCTTCCTGACCGCTAAATGTTCGTGGAGGATTTTGTGCACTTGACTCATACCGATGCCTAAGCTTGTCCGAATCTGTTGATAGGTCACTCTTTTGTCAGTCTCTATCATACGCCGCACAACACAGATGTTATCTTCAGTCGTCGCCGTAGAAGGCCGTCCCTCACGTAAATCATCAGTGAGATTAGTGCGACCACGTTTAAACTCATTAAACCAGTTGTAAACAGTCGCACGAGATGGGGCTTCATCGTGAAAGGCCAATCGTAGTCTATCATAACTTTCTTGTTGACTTAAATGACATCGAAAGTCATAAAAAATCATTGCACGAAAATTTTCTCGTGTTAAATTCATGATGACGTGACACAGACAATTTTCAATTTGCCGCCAAATCGTAAAACAAATGACAAATGAATGAAATATATACTCAGTAATATTGGCAAAGAGTTATATTTTCAAATTTTAGAATTATTTTTTTATTATATTGTTTATAAGTGGCCAGTTCTAAGAACTTTCAGTTTGACCCTCGTATTAATTGGAATCAGTGCTTCCAGATCCCAAAAGTCAAATTACAGTGTTGTCAGCTAAAAATACAGTAGTTTCTCTATACCGTACAGCAGTTATCAAAGTCTGTCATTGAAATTACAGGAAAACTTTATTTAAATAATTATTTAAAAAACAGCTAGTTTATTAGTTATTTATAAACACAAGTTACTGTTAATTATCTGTCTGTGATCCTTGATATTACGAGTATTACATTATTGAGATTAAATAGTGAGCAATTTTTGTATGTAAGCTAACATATTTCCTTTGATGGTGTTTATAATTAGATAATTCGTCTGTTTAGTTTTTATATTATTAATTCACTGAAGTTGAATACTGAACGAAAGTAACATACAATAAAACCACAGAACAATATTAAACGCAGTACTTCGCGGAAGCGATACAGGGTTATGGACAGCGACGGATAGCGATACGTATCGCTTTCTTTTAACGTTCGCGTACTGTGTCAATATCCGTTTTTTCGCTTGTCCTAAGAACGGACTATAATAAGTATATACAGAAACACACTTACCAAATATATAAGTATATAATTTAAATCTGCCCGTTATTGTTAAATAAAGTGCATAAAAAGTTGCCGCATGCAGATAGACGAACCCTAATACGTTTCTCCATACTATCTGCCATCTGAAACACAAGAGAATATTTAAAGTTAAACACCATGAAATAACACAAAAAATGCGAGCTTGTTTAATTATTTTATAGTAAAATTTCATTGTCGGTTCAATACTTTTTACAAAAATAAAATTTTATCGTGAAAGCCTGTGCTCCAGCAGTGGTGACAGTATACTGATGATGATGAGATCGTTTTTTTTTTAATTACTTACTCGTAATCTCTGTTCTTCCCACTCGACAGTCGTGCAGTTGAGATCTTCGGTAAATCATCTTCTACTTGTTTGATGACATCTTTTGTGAAGATCGTAGTCGCCAGAAGCAGAGAAGAGGTCATTATAAATACATACGTCTATCTGAAATGATACATAATATAAAACATTAGTTTTTGGTTGTTGCTAGCTTTTCTCATGCGAGAGTACACCGCAGAGGTCTGGGTAGGCCTCCGTGAACCCACTGAGCAGCTCACTGCCGGGTGACCCCCCCTTTGCTTGCCAGGTAATAGGGACACTACATATAAGCATTTCTATGACGTTGAAAAAATGGTTGCTCGTAGCGTACCGGTTTTTTTTATCAGTGCACAAATAAAACTAATAAACTTTCGCGTTGCATTATATTAGATTGTATAAGTATTCTGGTCGAAACGTCGGAAAATATAAGTAGGTGAAAAACCTAACTATCAAAATCTATTGTGTCCATACCCGTCTTATACAATCTAATAGAGTGCACAAATGTTTACAATTTATTCTTATATATTTAATCTAAAACATAGACACGTATTTTCTCTTTCTTAACGCACTAACAATGGATAAGAAAGAGGTTATCTAAAAAAACATCGCTACTTATGATTATAAGCTCTGCTGTTATTTGAAGGTTAACGACTATTTCAGGGTTCCGTACACAAAGGTTAAAAACAGAACCCTATTATTAAGCTTCTGCTGTCCGTTTGTCTGTCAGTAGACTGTATCTCATGAATCGTGATAGCTAGACAATTTATAATTTCATTTTATAATTTATTTTAGAAAATATGAAATTATAAAAATGAAACAAAAATTTTAAAAATTATTTTTTACGTTTTTTTGTAAATAGTTATACGGAACTCTTCGTGCGAGATCCCGACTCTCACTTGGTTGGATAATTATCGATATAACTAAAAGTGTTTACTACATTAAAAATAGTAATTCTTAATGGTTGTTTATAATAAAATGTTGGGTAATTCAAATTACATTTCAATATCTTAACTTCGATAAAGGATATTTGTACTTTCACTGTTCTTGTACAACATTTCATGATAATTATGTTTTAAATGTTCACTTAAAGGTTTACATAATATTTCCAATTCAATTTCATTCTTGTAAATTATCTTAACGACTTCCAAAAAATGATCAAAGTATTCGTGAATAGAAAGTTCGGAAATACGAGGTTACGTAACAAAAAAAACATGAGTTTAAACTTATACAGTGAGTAAATTATGAATAGCAACATTATTATCTATATGAAGTTATATGCTTTTCAATATTTAAAAATTACCAACATCTAAAAATTAATAAAAAAACTCGCTGTATATCGTTTTATTTACATTAAACTATTTTTAACTTTTGTGCTCTGTTCCATTCAATAAAGAGCTAATATTACTTTAGTGCGTATTTTAACGCGTAAGTAAGTAAGAAAAAAATCTCTTGAGGGCGTTCAAAATCTTTTATAAATGTAACAAAAACGTATCTGTTGTAACCTAATTTGATAAAAACTTATTTACGAAATAATGTCTTTAATCATATAATGAAGGCTTTATGTAGGAGAGTTGAAAAGCTTAAAAAGCCTGTATCAGTCTGTTGATGACATAATACATGTATATAGCAAACAAAAAAAACGTTCAGAGTTTATTTATTTTTTAAGTAAAAATAAAAATCCCGCTAAACGATGCGCCGAGACTAAATACACACAATTGTCTATTTATGTTGATAAATCTTATAAATTTTCGAAAGTTTTATTAAGAAAGTAGTCAAGATGTGACAACGGCTCTACTTTCACGCGCTGCTGACATCTCGAAGTATTGCTAGTCTTAGGTCTCAAGGTGAGAGAAATTTTATGACACTGCCAATAAAAATAATAGGCGAAAAAAATTCTTTACTTAAAATAGGCGTCGCCAACAATTATTCAAATTGGTATTATAACAATACGTATTCAAAGGCGAATAAGAAAGTTATTTATTTATGTAATTATAAGTTTTTACAACTCCTCGAAATATTTTTAAGGAAGTCTAAATTTGAGGCTATTGATATTTTAATTATTTATTACATAATACAAAAGAAAAAACATTATTTTTACATTAGCTACCATAAGAACTCATCGTCACTCACGTCTACAGCTGGCAAAAGACTGTCTATATGGATGGAATCGAAAAAAAGACACAATGGACTATGACCTTCTATGCTGCCTACTGCCTATATAGTGCTGACTGGTGAGAGTTAACAACTACAGATGCAATCAGGACAAATAGTTTGACGTGCCTTCCGAAACATAGCAAAGCTCGAGATACTAAAATTTTGGTCACCCATCCTATTACCGGCCACTATGAAAGTTGCTTAACTTCTTGATAGCAAACCGAACCCACTAACCACTGCATTTTAGAACTCCTCTATATTAATTAAAAGAATTATATCACAAATTTGTAATTATATGCAAAAAACTGGTTAGGAGCGGTTAAGAGTTGCATTGAAGCTGTAATGTTAAACTTTTTAATTGATATTGAGTAATAAAATGTGATAAAGTGCAGATATGTGTGTTTTATACGTTATTTAATTTGTAGGTGGGTAAAATGGAAATATTTTTGATTAAATTTATCAGTTTTAGTAGTAGTTTGTAATTACACTGTTACTATATTTATATTTTGCACAGTGCTCGTAGACCAACTTGTGCTCAATAAAATCATTACACACCTCAGCTCATGTCAAGGGTTTTTATAAGACTACCCAAAAAAGGATTGTCAAAAAAATATTGTTTAGATCAGTCAATATCGAATGATACACCCCGATGTTTAAACATTGATATGTGCAGCGACGAGACGGAAGAGAGAGAGAAGCGTACGCGCTGCCTTAATTCTATCATAACTTTTGAAAGACTTACATATTCCATAAAAATATTTATTAAAGCGAATGTATGGCATCATTTAAATTATTTTTTCCTTAATTATTGATAGTAAATGAGTATCAAATTAAAGATCTCAATGAGTTTCTTCGGTGTCGTATTAAGGAAATTCTATTTCCAAAAGACAAGATTTCGTTTTCAGTAAAATAAAATATGCCTCGAGGATTCATTTTATTTCGTAAGAATAGTATTGTTAAAAATACAAGACAGATAATGCTATCCACTCTAAAAGTAGTAAGTTCCTACTAAATTACTTTCTTTAGTGCCATTCTCAAATTATAAAAGGAGTGTTCAACGCCGTCATCAAGACACAAAAGCCGTGTGAGCACGCAGCTTGAAGAGGTTGCTTTTACTTCTTCCGATTATGAATAATAGTAAGGAACCTGTTCTACGGCCTCGGCCTCAGCAAAGTCAACAGAATCAAACTTTACTTTCACTTTACAACGGCACCGGTTGTACAGAGTGGACGATGCACATAAGTAAGGGGTCGGCAACCTGTGGATCTTTCAACGTAAAGATTTTTTTTTGACATTTATTCATAAAACCGAAAACAAATTTACAATTTATCTCAAATTAAGCTTAATAACATATATTCTAACATACATAACTTATTTTAAACTCAACAACCATAGTTGTTCAACCACCTCTGAAAATGCAAAACTCTTAAAGCTAGATATTACAGGTTCCGTGTAACAGTAAAAAATGCTATGAGACTGTTTAAAATAAATATGAAATTATTGAAACAATATAAAACTTTCTAATTGTTGTGAAGATATTATAACATCTAAAAAAATATTTTTTAGTCAATTAATTTATTAAATTACATTTTAAAAATATTATATATTTAGAGTTTTACATAAAATCTGTGTTTATATAAAACTGTGAATCCTTTTTCTTTTATGCAAAATTTTGTTCAAAAGTCGAAACATTTCGTGAATTTTTAAAATAATATTTTAATGGGGATCGATATTTGTTATTTCAATAACTAGTCGAGTGATGCCAATGACAGGGATGTTAAAATCGTAATGAATTTCATCGATATTTATGTTACCTTCACTAAAAACCCCAATATTGAATAGTATGTTAAGTTACCCGACAAATATTAATAATAAATAACTGTTAATAATCTAAGTATATATATAATTTTCTCTTATTATAACACTAACTGTCTTTTAAAATACGTGCGATTAATTTATAAGCATCAATTCCAAAACTCTTAATCTTCAACCTTTTCCGTTGTATTCCTGAACGTGAGAAATACTATAAACATGCTATGAATTTGTACGATATATTCATAAATCTTTATCAAAGTGATTGTGATAAATAAATATTAGTAATCTGAGTTTGAACGTTTAGTAGATACTTAAACGTTTAATGTTTTAATTTACATGGATGGAAATTAGCAGTTCGAACGATTCTAATAAAATATACACTCTCCTTGCATTTAAAAACGCCAGCTTTACGCGGGAATAAGTTCTTTTTACTTATGTAATTTCTTAAACAATAAAAAAATTAGGAAGTTCCATTCATTATTACTTATGCACGTCGGGGCCCCCATGACCCAAGGGCCCCGTATAATTGATACGGCAGATATGGCAGATACGGCGGTAGATGCGCCCTTGATGCGCCACTTTTAATATGCTTCTTTCAAAATTATGCTTCTTTTTCAATTAAATCTGAATAGCATTTCAACTTATTATTATATATATATTTTAACTCGCTGCTCATATAAAAAATATTGTATAACATTAGACATTCGTATAATGGAGACAAATCCTATCGTTAACTTATAATGGCGAAAGAAATGGTAGAAAGAAAACATATACGGTATGATTGAATGAATAATCTTAGCAAGATAAAGAATAAACGAAAAATAAGATTGACAACGGTTTGCTACAGTGACCATGGAAACGCCTGTAAAAGATTCTAAACATTTCAAAATGCTAAAACTATCTGAATTGTACACCGCAAAGGTTGGTTTATAAAATAAAATGGATACACTAATTGTAGTTCACATATTTAACTGTAGGAATTCATCGTATGGCTTGCCTACTTTTGCTTGCCGATGAAAGAGGCTGTTTTATAATGATACTGCGTTACTTCTCATTTGTAATCGTAACGGTAAACGAATATACAGTAGCTTGTTTTATGATTTACGGTTGTAAAAGGCCAGGTAGGCTGTTCTTGAGT